CTTGTGAAACAAGCTAATTATATTACACATACTTAGAAAAATTGTCTTTCAAGTTAAATTATGTATGGTGCAAAGTCAACATGTGGTGGAGGTCCTATAAAATATTGCAATCTAGCTCTTAGTAGTATATTTGGATGCAATAGTGAAGAATTCTTCACTCTTGTCAATACCTATTTAGTATTTAGTCTTATTTCAAAAAAAATTAGTCTTCTTGTCTTTACTGATAGCCATTCTAATTCCATATATTACCATCTTTGAGTAACTTTAAAATCCTTTCAAGTGACACAAAAATGTATTGAATTTTCTTCCTTTGATATTCATATCCTTGACAATTGAGTATTTCATTATTTTCAACAAAAGTGTAACAATATCTCATTACCAATAATGCAATCATTCCAATAATCTCACCAAAAAAAATTCATAATCTCGTATACACTCTTAACAAACTTTACAAACAAGGCTCACTTCAATATCTGCCCGGCTCTGTTCACTCACTTTCCTTTGACAGGGTGGGTATTATGTGACGCGGCCGCGCGTTAACGGTAGCGGGAGTGAACGCAACGGCGTCGCTGTGACCCAGAGCGGCGGTGGCGAGCTCAACAGTGATGGTTGTTGCGAGTATGTAGACACTGGCTCCACACACAGTTTAAGCCAGCATCAAAGCTAGGCACAATAAAAGAAAGGAAGTTATTCTTTTGTGTATAAAGATATTTATATATATATATATATATATGTATATATATTCCTTGATCTGCAGGCGGCAACACGGAGATGGCGAATGTGAGGCAGCCAGACACGCCGGGGATCGTGGGAGCGTACTCTCGGAGCAGATAATAGCCACAAGCTCCGCGCCGGTTTATTGGCCACGAGGGCTGCTCCGAGATGCCAGCTACCAGATCGAAAAATCTGTGGAAGTCTCACTTCTGAGCCATCCGCTTGTGTCTAGATATTTCCGAGCCTTATCCTTTCTGATTCTCTCGAATCGGAACTGGCACCGGCTTTATAGCTTCGCACTCCTTTACATGAACTGTAAGGCCTTGCAATCCAGTCAGTAAGCGAGACAACTCTCGCCCTGGTTAAGCCTGGGGAATTGAGAAACGGTTGGTGTTCGTAGACTGATCCAGGTCTTGATCAAGTGTCGGAACAAAGAACCGTTTGTTACTTGCTTTTACGGAGTAGTATCGATTGCTGATGCGGACCAGAGCTGCCGACATCATGGTCTCGAAGACCTAAGTTTTTGCAGTGGTTGATGGTACTTACGATTTCTGAATTTATGGGAAGTAGTCGGAAGTTGGACCTTGGGTCTCGTAGAGACTCCTTGTTTGTGTTCTGTTGGGAGCATTCGTAATTGCTGGTTGGAAAAAATAAATGAACCAAAACTTCACAGTTTCGACTGCCGTGGTAGAAGCGCTTCGGGTTCGGGGGGATCTCCTGAAACTCCAGGACCGAATACGGAGTTTTAAAAAAAAAAAAAAAAAAAAAAAAAAAAACATGTAGTTTTTATTATTATTACTTTTTCAATTTATTCACTTTGAAGAGGAACACAAGTCGTGGGAAGGATTTGAAGCGCCTCCTGAGGCAAGTAACTATCAGGACTGGGCGATGAACCAGTCCGAGCGTTAGCACAATCATCACATGAAAGCCATGGGCAGGCGTCCTTCATAATGGCCATAACTCTTGACATGACGTTGAGGACTATTCAGTGGATAGCTCCGGTAGTCCTCGATCCACAAGGGAGATTGTTTTGACAAGAGTACAGTCATGCTTTCTTGCTTGGTAAATTTATATCTCTACAACTGGTGCTGTCAATTCCACGTACATCGGCACTTGTTGAATTCAGACCGGGCACTTTATACATAGATTTGTAGACAACCATATGCAATGAAAATGGTATAAAAATTTACAGCCTTTCATGTCCGGCTGATTCTTGCGAGTTGGCTTTTTTGAGTCCTATTCGAATGGGTTGAGATCGACAGCCGCATTGATCCAACTGAAATATAATATTTGTGTAAAACAAAGAAATAAGTAATTTTGTGATAGGCCAGGTCAGGAAGGATGGTGATAGTGCAACGCAGGGTCAGAGGGTTTGCAGGAGCCGTAGACAAGAATGCGTTAACCGTTACAACGAATGCAGTTGCGAAGTGATCTCGACCGTCACATATCAGCTCGCTCTGCAACAGCTTCGGCACGGCAGAATCTGAGAAAATCTGCAAGGAATCACGAATAATTAAAGGGTATCACATTGTTTGGAATTGATTTTCCTTCCATCCGGAAAGTACCCCTGATCTCGTACCTTGTAAAAATAGTCCAGCAATGCAACAAACTCCACAGAATCTGTTTTGAACTGATTTTAGAGGACTTGATTGAAATTCGGAAAAGGTGTTTGTTCAGAAACAACTGTTCGCAAAACTCGGGGAGGTGTTTTTCTCATCTACCCGGTAAAACTACTCAAAACTTAACGTACCTCCCCCAAAATTAATCAATTTTAGTTCGAACTCCCGTTCAGTGCACATCAAAGGAGCATTGTGCCACTTTTTAACCATATTAATCCAAAGCATCGGGTACACCTCCTTTTGAGTAAAAATAAAAGAATGTGTATGAAACAAAACTTCCATTCCGTGCCGAGGCAAGTTGGCTGCAATTAGTCACAGTACTTTTGCTAAGCACAGTCTGACAAACTCAGAGGTTTTGAATTCATTTTATATGCACCTCTGACACCAAACAGCCGACTTTTGTGGTCCATTTTTGCGCTCTCATAATGTCACAGACACTGTCCCACCGAGGTCAGGTATTCCATAACGGCATCACCAAATCATGTGGAGATTAGGAACAAGCCGTACGCAAAAGAAAATAGGAACAGATTTTCTTACACGTGTAGGCCGCAGTAGCTTCCCCTAGATTTACTGGTCATTGCAGATCCTATTTTCACACTTGGGTCATAATCGTAAGGGAGAAGATATGCGAATAAAGGTGTGAAGTGTTTCGGTCCCAAAAATATCTACACAAAATGTACACTACTCAGGACTTTAAAAAAATCTCCTTATAAATATCCTCAGCATCGAAAGCAACTGAAGCCACGAGCATTGCTTTCAGCCTAAGTGAAATAGCTCTTTCACATCCGTTGCAGGGCGCCAATGAAGTCAGAGTGCAACAGATGTTGATACGTTGCTGCACCACCACTCAGCAAGGGCCCCATTGTCTAACAACCTAGGCGATGTAGAGCTTGCTTCCCTGAAATGTTGGCCTCACGCTTCTATCCGTTCAAATTTAGGACTAAGTCCTTTTGCTAGAAATCCATGACCAACAAAGAGGCCGGAGTTTTTCAAATCTTCCACTCAACGATTCATAAAGCATAGAAGTGAGATGAGGGTTAATTAGTGTTACCCCTATTTCCCCCATGGTCGCTGCTGAACATAGTACAACACTTTCCAAAATTGACCTCCAGATTGTGGCTGCATTATCGATGACCTGATCGTTGGGGGCAATGTGGATCTAAGATCTTTCCTAAGTGTGTAATGAGATTATTGCAATGTTTCAGAAGTGTGCACATAACCGTGATTACAGATGCAGCAAATGTGCCAATACCTGAAGTTACAGCGCGAAAGTCTACCAAAATCTTCATTGAGCTATCTTTGTCGAGACGTTGGAATCAGTCCCCTATCTTCACAACCGCTGTCATCACACAAAGATGGGTTGTGTTTCATCTTTTTGCCGGCGCCTTTCGGAATTCGTGCAAGACCTGCAACTTGTAACATCCAAGACATCTTGTAGCAGGTAGAGTATAGATTCAAGTGGATCTCGGCAATAATGTCTGTTTGAACGCTCGTTCCTAGTTGCCATCAACCTTCACTTACCTCATCTCAACGGAACTGAGTTGCTGGGAAAGGATGTGCCATACTAGACTGGATCATGATGGAATTATTCCTTGTTTAGTCAGCAGCGTGAAGAATGACTCCACAGGGAATCCGGATTCTCGTAATCCCAGCTATGCCTGCTTCGGACACTCCATTATATTCTTAGCAGTCTTTTTCTACACAATTTAAAGTGTTAAACCATAATTCTTAGGATTCCTTCTTGTCCATGAAACTTCGACTGTTCTATCTGAGCCTCAAATCTGGAAAGCGTGAGTATATGCATCTCCCTCATGTGAATGAATATCTTGTGCATTTTCTAAGTTTCGATGCTTCAGTGGTAGAGTATTTGAACTGACAAGCTTGACAATGAGCAAAGCAAGGTGGAATAAGTTGTGCCCATAATAATTGGATACTTGCGATTGAGGATCTGAACTGAGTGATTAGCAATTTCATCCACGTTAGCATGTTTGATTACCACTAAAACATACATGTATGAAATATGACCCATCTTTGATACTCTCTTGAATAATAATTTCTATTTCAAACCACATATTTCTTTTTCCAGATACGAATATATGATTCAAGAGGTTAAATTCATACTAACCAAATAGAATTACCCTCTATTTAAATTCGTAACAAAGACCCAAAATGAAAGAGAAGAAAAAACGGTAGATGTACAGCACAATTTTACAATAGGCTGTTTTTTCAAATCATTACACTAAATACAACGCTAATCACGTACGAATGTCCGTACAGTAAATTAAAATTACTAAGTCATTTTCAGAATCAACACTTAAACGAAACTTTCCTATTGCGTTCCGTGTTTGAACTCAGGCATGCGGTAGACGAACACAAACCTAGATATTAGTGGATGGAGCATAGAAGTTGGTTGGACACCCTACTAAATCACCCGAACCAAATCACCAACAGTCCAAAACAGTGTTGAATGAACCATCGAAAATATTTTAAAAGTTACGTATCTAGCATTGTGGGAATGTCATAGAGAAAATAGCATAAATTGAAGTGTGTCCCAAATCACTTCACAACTCACCTTGGAAGGAATCTTCCAAACATCGTCGAGGTTTAGAGTTTAGGGCAACTACTCTTTGTAAACTACTCTACCATCACATCAAACAGTAGGACTGATTTACTGGTCGACGAAAGATCCTTGTCCAGGTACTATTATAGTCCAGGTTAGCCCAGTTGAGCTAGACAAGATGATTTACTGCAATCTGAACAATTTTTGATACCAGTGTACTTTTGCATATGTAGCTTCTTCTACATTTTGCAGACAATTGTGGGATAGACCCCATGACAAACGTAGGCCCCGGCTATCCATGACTCTTCAGCTCTATCTCATATACTGAGCGCTAATATACACCCGGCCAAGTCAGAGCCGACCAGTCAACCTACAAGCGCATAGAACAACAAAAGGGCACTCATCTTGTCTAAAGAACCGTGAAAGAAACTGTGAGCAAAACTGCGCACATCCTTGAAGGAAAGCAGGATGTGCCTGAAGCTACCAAAATTGTACCACATAACATCTAAAGCTCATCGCCAGTGAACTAGTCTAATCCCATGCACTACTACCACCTCCATATCCTCCACCTCCATAACCACCACCGCCACCACCATATCCCCCGTGGTGGTGGCCCCCTCCACCTCCTCTGCCGCCTTCCCTACGGAAATCACGGCCACCAAATCTCGATCCTCCTCCCGACCGTCTGTTCCTACCACCACCTCCATAACTAGCTCTCGTAGCGTAGTTAGTCAACCATCCAGGCACCTCCTGGTTAGATTCTGTCATCAGCTCTGTCAGCGGTCGCGCTAACGCCTGGTCTTTCTCGTTGAAGAAAGCAGTTGCCACACCACTCTTTCCCGCACGCCCAGTACGACCAATGCGATGCACGTAATCATCAATATCACTAGGGAGGTCGAAATTCACGACATGGGCAACATGTGGAATATCAAGACCCCGGGCGGCAACATCCGTAGCAACGAGAATGGGCGTCACTCCCGTCCTAAAAGATCTCAAGGCATGTTCTCGCTCCTGCATTCAAAACAATATTGAAAAGACGATTCCAGAAATGTAAGACAAGACTGCCTGCATAACTCCACCAAGAACATTGATAAGCCCAAAAGTTTTGGAGATGATTACTGGAATCGAGATAACTCGAATCACGTTTCGAATCTCTCTAAAATAGCACCATCTCACAAGGCAAGGCAGGCTAAGGCAATGAGTAGGCGAATAGTTCACAAACACACCTGCTGGCTACGATCACCGTGGATTGTGGTAGCTGGGAATCCGAGGCGGCACAGCCAGTCCTCTAAAGCATCTGCTCCTTTCTTAGTCTCCACAAAGACTAACGTCAAAGTTTGCTGCCCAGGCGGAGCCAAGGCGCTTTGAGCATGAATAAGGTCCATCAGCATGCTACGCTTGTCCACATCTTGCACATACTCTACCCGTTGCACGATTAGATCCGTACTGGATCCTACCCTGCCCACAGCAAGGAAAATGTAGTTCGACAAGAAATCCGATGCTAGTCTCTGGGACAACAGAAAAATCCAAAACAGGCGTCAGACATAAAAGCTTTCTCAAAAAAATTCAATCACTCTCATCCTCAGCTTATTCACACCAGCTTCTCCATGATCCAAAACATCTTACGGCATTTTACTGGGTTCAGAACTAAAGACTGCGATGCATTACACTTCTCACATGTAAGAGGCCGTCCAAAAAGCCTACACGGACAGGATTACCTCTAAAATTGAAATTCGGACTCCTGTTTATTCCACAATTACTGATGATTACTCAAAACAATTCGAAGAAAAGAGCTCGGTACTCTTTACCGCCTATGAGAACCTACCAATCCATTCTGGGTCATTCACAGAATATGGTAAGTACCTGTATTTCTCGAGGAAATGTAGCACTGAACAGCATTGTCTGGCGTTCACCAGCCGGTGGCATATCCATCTGCTCAACTATTCTACGAATCTGGGGTTCGAAACCCATGTCCAGCATTCGATCAGCCTCATCTAGCGCCAAGTATCGCACCATAGACAGGGATACTCTAGCCCTTTCCAAGAGATCACTCAAACGCCCAGGGGTGGCAACTAAGATGTCTACACCTCTTTCCATCTCTCTAAGCTGCAAAAACAGAAAACCGACACTGTTAATGATTTGACGAAGAACGATTCCGACCACTACTTCCCTAGATGAAAAAACATCTATCTCGAGACACACAGATGCAAGGGCATTTGAATGACATACAGCTCCAGAGATTTACAGATCAACAACACTTGGCTTATTAACTACGACACATCAGAGAGAAACAAAACGAAATGAGAATGATCGAATGGCTCATAACCGTAAAAGGAAAACACTAAGCAGCTTACTCAGAACATTAAGGGAATCAAAATATACCTGATTATGAACGGGAGCCCCCCCATAAGCGACCACTACTCTAATGCCGGTCTGATACGCAAACTTCTTGGCTTCGTCGCTGATCTGTAAAACGACAATGATGAACAAACATGTCAGAAAAACTCTACGACGGAGGAGCTTCAACTCTGCCATCGTTTCCATGCTGACATTCTCTTTACATCACAAAAGGTTGAGCAATTTTCTTCATCCCATTGATCAGCGAACCCATAATTGCAACTAATAGCACATAAATCCCTCTCAAGACTACTACACACCTGGCAAGACAGCTCCCTCGTGGGCGACAATATCAGAGCCAACGGCAATGCCTTCCTTCCACCCCGAGGACGGCCTGGAGGAGTGTTCCTCATAATCCCTGCGATAATTGGAAAACAAAACGCAGCCGTCTTCCCTGACCCCGTCTGTGCACATGCCATCAAATCACGACCATGCAAACTAATCGGTATAGCGTACTTTTGCACGGGAGTCGGCTTCGTGTACTTGCATCTTCTGATGTTTTCGTTCAGCGCCGGTCCCAGGTCAATTTCGGCGAATGTGTTCACCGGAGGTGGTATGTTATTACCACTCGTCTCTACAGGAATGTCCTCGTACGCATCGAAGTTGATACCAGTATTCTCTGCCTCAAAGATTGCCTCCGAGACTGGTTCGTCGTTAGCGAAGGGATTAGCTTCTCTCTCCCATCCCCCCCTTTGGCCTCGTCCGCCACCTCCATAGCTCCGACCTGAACCATTTGAGTTCCCCCAACTGGCTGAATGATTCACCGCCGGACTTGCACCCCAACCGGACCCATTCCCGGCCTTGCCTAGACCCCCAGCTTCCGCTTTGGGTGCAGCAGCCGCTACTGCGTTAGGATCACCCCACGCTCGCCCTCCTTGCCCAGCTCTAGACGATCGTTTTAGTTCGGGGCCGGAGATTTCTCCAGCACCGTTTACGACAGGAGCACCTTGAGGACGGTTTCGCAAGTGAGGAGGCACATAAGACGCTCTGGCTGGCCGACCACCTGAGGCTCCTGCTGCACTTCCATTTTCAGTAGCCACCGTGTCGGGTGGCGACTCTGCCCATGTTGATGGCATATCTTTATGAAGCGCCCTGCCACTAACAAAACGGCTTCCCTCCTGTAACCCGTTCCGTATGCGAACCCTACTTTGCCACGGTGACGATATAGTTTTCACCACAACTGAAGATAACCCTGAAATAAATCAATGACCCAGAAAGCTGCACAACCGTACAAAGACCGCAGTCACAATCAGCATAACATACCTTCACAAGCCGATCAACATCCACATGAGGAGATCACAAGGCGTATGCACTGCCGCCCGCGCCTCCCTAATTCGTTCCTCAAAGTCAAATGAAACAGTGAAAGAAGAAAACTATAAAAACAAAAACCTAAGTGCATCTGTGCACGCGCCCAAACATACGAAACAACCGTACGCTTGAGGGTATTTAAAAAACCTACACATGTTGAGAAAAGCTGCGCAAAAGCAGAAATTCCAATGCGAAACTCTCGCGTCAAGGCTTAGGCTATCGTCTCAATCCTAGAGTCTACACCTACTACTTCACGCTAGAAATGTTGTAGAAAAAGTACCCAGCATGCCAACCTTCGGGGCTAAAAGACTTCAGTACAAAGTGGACGGGGATACCATAAACACACATACACGGTAGACAACGGCGTCAATTAGTGAGGGTTAAACAAAGGCAACGAAAAAACACGAGGAAGCAGAGATGTGACCTGTGCGCGAGACGGCCACACCCCTGGCCCGCAACGCAGGCGCGAGGACGGCAGCAATAAATCGAGACCCAAGTCAAGTCGAAGCCCAAATCCGAGATCGAAACTCCAACGAAACCATGTGAGCAAATCTTTGAGCAGCAAGGATCCGCGTTGAGAGAGGACCAAGGCAGGGTTTGCAGGCACAGGTTGTGGCAACGGCGGAGTCAGAAAGCAAAAGCGTCGCCCCCAAACCCTAATCAAGTCTCCCTTGCGTTTGTCCCCGTTCCCACGGGCTGGTTCCCCTGTGACTCCCGAAAGGGCGGACCGGCCCCACCAGGCTTTCGATGGTGTGAACGCTGCCAGAACTCCAAACCAACCACACACACATGAATCTATACATATAAACGAATTCTTCTTTTAAGTTTAATTTTTCATTATTTTGAATATATTTCCATAGCAATGCATGCATACCCATTCACAAATTTTCGTTTATAAGCAAAAATTATAGGAAAAAGGTTTTTAAAACTTTCTGGTTCACTTTAATGTATGCCTAAGTGTGTGTTTGTATGTTGGTATACTAGTTTCCCTTACCAGAATCATTGATTCCGTTAATAAATTATAAATATAAAACACTGTTTTATACTGTTTTAATTATAATTATTTCTAAAATGATGCTGAAGATGACACGTGATGATCTTCTGTTGAACCAAAAACGACTGATTTATTTAGATTTTTAAAAATATAAATATCATATCATACCAATTTAAAATAGATATGCATTTTGTATATATATATATATATATATATTACTGTGACATTTTAATTTCGTCTATATTGGTGATTTACAGGCTTGTAATCATTTAAAGTTCTATTATCTTTGTCAAATTATGTTTACAGTTAAAAGTGACTACACGTTTCAAATGGAAAAAGAAAAAGAAAAAGAAAATAAACAAAAGAATATAAAATAAACAATGGGTGATTGTCTTATTATGATATATAATGACCCGACACAAACTTGAGAACAATACAAATTTATAGCATTTTCAAGTAGGGTTATAACCAAAGAATTTCGTTTAAATATATGAAACTATATTTGTATTTAAATTTTGGATGTAAAATATACATATATATATATATATATATATATATATACATTCATTCATTTTTACGTGTAACAGTGCATCAATTTATTTCATTTCAAGTTTTTTTTTTTTTTTTTTTTTTTTTTTAAATTATTTAAAACGTTTCTTGGAAAACCCTGATTCAAACATTTATGCAGTAACCATTTTTACCAATTTGGCAAAAGATCTTTGTGTTTGCAGGATGTACAATAAAACCTTTTATAGAAACTAGTTTAATTAAGAGAAAATTTGACAGGACGGTGTAGAACTTATAATTTCATCATGTAGAATGTATCTGATGTCATGTAAAAACCCATAAAATTTCCTAGTAATTCTTATTTGTCTTGCAAGTGATAAAATTTATGAAATTTAAGATGTCTATTGATTTAAATTTTTATTATATATTTTTCAGTTTCAAGTTAAAAACATCACATGTTATCTTTGATAAATCAAAACGCCTCACTACAAAACATCAATAACTAACAAATATTAAATTCAAATGTTAAAAATACAATGTATATTCTTATTAAGTTAAAACTGGTTTTTTTATTTAATACTTTATTTCTAATAGTATCAATATTATAATATTATAATTATTCTTCAAAAATAAAAATAATAATATCCTATTTTTTTGATTATGTAAATAATCTCCCTCTAAATATATTGTATGTGTTTTACAAAATAAAAATAAAAAATAAAGATTTAATTTTTTTTTTTAATAATATATGTTATACTTTTGTGACAAAATTTATGTGTATATGTATACTAAAATGTATAAATTGGTCATCAAATTATTTAATAAAATATTGTTTAGGTACAAATAATATATCAACTAAATAAAAAAAGTTTCTTAGACTTTGATTAAAAAGTCACTATTATCTATAAATTTCAAACAGTACTTATGCAAGTTTTAAACACTAGATATCATCACTAATATAAAATCAATTAATATTTTAGTCCTTTTGTATGTATAAATAACCTCACAAATAATTATATTTATAATATACTTTAGTTATAAATTAATCCTGATATATATATTAGAGTGTAATATTATAATATGTGAATTATATAAAAATAATAATTATAGTGTATTTTAATAAATCTTAAATCATCTCAAATATTTCTTTTCAAGATTGTAGTATACCGTTTTTACAACTTTGCAATTGTTTCTTTATGTATGTTATAGGAGAAATAGCTTGCACAATTATTACTAAAACAAAATAAGACATAGTCCAACTGATTTTTTTATGAAACAATGGTGCACAAGGTTTATATATATATATATATATATATATATATAGGCAAGAAATCTAAAATCTACATTAGATTGTAGTTTTCTTAGTAGTTTTAAACCATAACTACAAACATTAAGTTTTACTTTACATATTAATATTAGTTATTATGTTAAAAAAAAAATCAACCACATCAACTAATAAAAAATACAAAAGAAGGAAAACAAAGCATTGTAGTAATGAGAAATAAGAAATTTAGTTTCTTCATAACCTGTAGTAGATTTAAATAGAAGTACTTAAATAATAATTTAAAAAATGAACGTAAATATAAATAAATAATATATATATATATATATATTAAAACATAGATGTAATTTTATTTTCTAATAGTTTATTAATAAACCTAAAAGATTTATCTTATTTTTCTCCTTCGTTTATTTTTGAAGTTTTAGTAAATTATAAAAAATTGGCTTTTTAGTAATAAATCAAAACTAAAACTCTATGTAATTTTATACTTTTTATAATTTTATAATTAGATTTAATTCATGTGTAATTAAATAATTATTTCTGATGCTTTAAAATAACAAATAAAAATTTAAACTTTATTAAATTTCAATAAATTATTTAAAAAAATTTAAACTAGCTTGTCACTTAATGAAGCATGTAATGAAAGTTATTTTAAGCATAAATAGTGTTTATTTGTTAAACAATTAGTTTGTGCATTTGTACTAAAATGTTTATGAGCTGATGTTACATAATGTGCTATATGACAATTAAATATAAGTTGAAAAGAGAAATAATAATACTTATTTTAATGAAATGAAATTAATTAAATATTATATATTTTGATTGTTAATTTGTATCAATCTCTTTTTATGAATGATGGAAAATGCATAAAAATCATGAATAGTAGTTGATAACATCTTAAGCATTAAAAATGATTGAAATGATCAACTATTAAAAAATTATCAAATTTAAATTTTCAACAATTGGTTTTTGAAAACATTCAAATTTGATTCAAAGCTTTATAGTTTTTTTTTTTTTTTTTTTTTTTTTTTTTTTTAATGTGTTTATATAATCAATAAAGAGTTAAAATTGTTTATAAAAATAAATTATATCCAAAATAAGTTACACTAGTCAATAAAAATATAATTCTAATGACATGGTTTTATACAAAAAATATAATGTCATGTAGTTATTGCAATTTCTTTTAATAAGATCAAAGTAAATTTAATTCTGAGAATCCTTGAAATAAGATAAAAAAGAACGGTAAAATTTTATGTGATTGTTGAATGAAAAATTTAGGCTGCTATAAATTAACAATAATACCACATAATATTTATAGCCCACCAAATCATTGTACTACCAAATAAAAAAAAGAAATAATTAAACACTACTTAATACAAGCATCAAAGTATTTGCATTGCATAATGTATACTACAAACCTATATCATGTAACAAGAAAAAAAAAAAAAATGTTAAGTTCTAAAATAATATAAGACAAAAAACCAGTATACATACATACATACACACATACATATTCATTCATTCATACACATAATCATACCTGCATCATGACAACGTTTATTGTTTTTATTTTGTTTTATTATTACAAGAAGCCAACGAAATTTGATAGGACCCATGAAATGATACACATCTAAGAAGCGAAAGCTATTGATTTATTGATTTATTCTACTACTGTAGGACATGGCAACAAAACTGCGAGCTTTGCACAGGTTTTCTGGGGGTAGATGAAGGGGAGACCACCCTGAAGTTCAAAAAGCTTCGTCTGAATGGATGATAGATGCCCTCACAAAGCCTGGATCCCAATTGCGGAGTTGCGGCGAATTCTTGACAATCGATTCAGGACAGTATTATTATTATTAATAATATTATTCTTCCGATCATGGAGTGCAGGTTTCGCACATTCCCAGCCTCGATCGATCGTTGCACAGGTGAGCACTTCGAAGCTCGACGACACAGTCACTCGACGTCTTCCTCGTAGAAAAATTTGCTTGATAGGCACTGTCTTTACCAGGATGTGGTATGGAGATGTCGCCAGCGTTCGCGATTTCGCGAAACGCGAAACTAGGAGCAACTGGTGCGCTTCTCGCAGCCGTTGGCCCAGTTGTTGTCGCAATTCACCCACCCGGGGTTGCAGGTGTAGCCACACACACCCCTAGTGCACTTGGACACCGCATTCGGCAGATCCATGAGACATGGCGTTGTGCAGGAGCCGCAGAAGCGCAAGTCGTCGTTGTATGGCAGCCTGGACTCGCAGCCGTCATTTAGCCAGTTGTTGCAGTCGGATAACCCGGCCTTGCAGGTGTAAGTGCATGTGCCTTTGACGCACGTGGTTATGACGGTCTCGACGTGGTATGGAATGCACTGTCGGCCGCACTGCCCGCAAGCATTGACGTCGCTGTAAGTGTTCTTCTCGCAGCCGTTGGTCCAGTTGTTGTCGCAGTTGGACCACCCAGTCTCACAAGTGTACTCACAGATACCGGAGGTGCACGCGGTGGTGATAGCGTTGGGTCTTTTTGCGCAGTCTTTCATGCAGTAGCATTTGGCTTCCGCAGAGTCTGGAAAATGCAGCGACGCGACGAATATATTAGCACTAATGAGTCACGTCACAAGCTATCCGTGTCGGATTCTTGATCGAAAATGAAGCATGAGGGGTTAGGTCGTTACCGAAGAACAGTCCTGCTAAGACAACAGAGATAGCCAACACGAGGGCGCTTGTCCGTCTCTGTCTCCAAGAGGTCGCCATTTCGGAGCACTTGCCAACTTGGCAGGAGAAAACTGCGATGACGGCACAGTTTTGATACTAGGAAGCTGAGAGAGGATCGAAGGCTGCCGGCATAGCAGGGGGATTGAAACCGTTTGGCTGAACATGTCTCCGCAGGCCCCTTTTAATCAACCTTCACAATACGTGACCTTCTCGTGGGTTGAAATATGTTATAATTATGTTCTGGAAAGCAACGCTGACCTCGAATCAGAAGTCAATCATAGCCAGAGCTGTACTTGCCACAGTCATATCATTGGCCTGACAATGTGTATGTCGAGGATGTGTACTGGATCACATGCAGCATTTCCAGCTTAAGATCTGCTTTGTAGGGTCCCGAGTAGTGCCATCCTGCGGTGTGTCGAGGATGGATCCTGTGAGCAGAAGCCATTGGGCTTGTCAATTGACATTTCCACGAATCCTTTCGAAACCAAGCACGAATCCCATCGTCCCGAAAAGGGGGCCGAACTTATCGTTACAGCGACGGGACCCGAATGTCAACGTACGCTTTACGGCTCCTGCAACGCCGAGACTCCACCTCACAGCCATGGATTGCATTGACTGAGGTTGCGGGAAGTCCTCATCACGACTCGTTGCTTTGGGGGCCCGACATGAGAAGTGTGACTACGTTGCACCAGGCGCTGTGAGATGCTTATCTGAGCAAAGGGGCAATTAGGCAACATGATCCATCCAGGTCGGTGCATATTGTGAGCCGCGACTGAACGTCTCGATGGGGCGGGTGAGCAAGTGGAGTTGTGAGTCAACAGTCAAACCAGCCAAGTTGTGGAAGCACATGCCACCCATTTGATAGAAAACCACCTGGTCAATCTATGCACAGCCAGCATATCTGTGTACCCCTCTCACAGCTAATTTCGGAACTGTGTGAGGTGGCTGTGAAAGATATGTGGGCGTCAGAGTAGGACAACGGTGTGGAGAATTGTTTTTGAGAAAATTTGTGGACCAACGGTTTGAGTTGTTGACGTTTCTTGTAAATTTCTTTGCAACTCTAAAGAAGACCTCTCTTATTGGTTTTTCAATTTTCTATGAAATTCTCTCTATCATATCCTTCTACTTTTATGTCTCCTAATGTATTGAGAAACACTTCCTTGTAACAAAGAAATATATATAATTCTTGTTTGTTTGTTTATTTTTTTACAATGCAAATAGATATAAACTTTGTAGCAAAAAAGTATATGTTACAATACTCTAAGTTAATTATTTATAGAAGTAGAAATAAACTAGAATTAAATATTAGTGTTTATCTACAAAACTTATTGCTAAACTTTGAATGTATGTTTATGACATGCTAGTTTTTATTATTTTTGATTTTTCATCTAATTACTAAAGATAAGATTTCTACATTACATATTGTAAGAAATTTTGGCACATATATATATATATATATATATATTAAAAATTTTATTTATTAAGTTTTTTGGAAGTAATGCTTGATTAAGAAAACTCCTACATATTATAATATAGAAAAATTTATATCAAGGAACACATCCACAAAAACAGTCATAAGTAAGAATATATATAAAAAATAATTACAAAGAAGGATGCATCTATAGAAATAATTACAAGGGCACAAATTGAAATGATTACAAAAAAAGGTGCACCTACATGAATAATACAAGTTGAAGCACAAATAAAAATAAATAAATAAATAAATAAAAATATACCTAATTTTCTTTTTTTTCATCAAACACAATTTTTCTTCTCAATTTGCCTCACTTTTCTTTGCATAGTAAAACAAGTTATAGGTTACTAGCAAAGAAATCAAATAATGACAATTTAAAACAAATTGGTATTGAAACACTATTTTTCATAGCTAAAGATGTCAATAATACTGTTAGAAGCTATTCTATCTAAGACTTTTTTCCTTATTAATTAAGAGTCAAGAAACTCTCGTGCATCAAGGTGATGAGCTCAAAAAAAGAAGATGAATTTTAGAACAAAATTATAGATGAAAACTACCTATTTTATATTGCAATCAATTGGTGTTAAGATTGGCTGCTTTATATTGTTAGGTTTGTTATTTATATATATAGATATTTTCAACATTTTTGAAACCTTTTAGCTTTATAAGCAAAGACCTTATAAACTTTGTTAAATCACTTATGTGGAACATACAAAGTTTGCAACCATGCAATATCATAAATAGTGCATAGTCCAAACTTGGAGCAAGAGCAATATATATATATATATATATATATATATATATATATCTATATGACTTTATAGAAGAACCTTAAGTTGCACTAAAAAGGTTTAGTAGAAGATTATAGTTTAGAATTTCAAAAGCTTGCACTATTACTTAGAAAATTTGGCTATAATAAATCTTGGTAATATGACTACATTTTATAGGGATAATTAACAATAATTTGTTAGAGTACTCTTTTGTCTTCAAACTCGGATGATTGTGATTATAGCCTTATATTCAATATAGATGCAATCCACTTAAAGATAAGATACCAAGATATCTACTTTAGCCTCAACATAATAGATGAAAAAAGTCACCTTGTTCATGTTACTTTTGAGATTGCTCTAATTAAGTAAAATAAAAACTAGTTTTTTCACTAGCTAGTGCATGCAATAGCCTTCATTAATTCTACAAGCATCATAGTTATGAATAATCGTAAGAAGATGTATAATTTACTTGCTTTAAAATTTTTATTTAATTTTATATTTAATTTTATATTGATTATAGTAATATGTTTAGGAATTAAAAATATAATTATTAAAAAGCTTTTTTAAAAAAAAACATAATGCTTAAATCTAACATATCAAAAGAAATGTGAACATGTCTCATAAAATAAAATTGAATGAAAAGATTTGAATAACTGCAAAGACGTTAACTATGGATGTCCTTGCAATTGTTATAGTAGACATCCACAAGATGCATGCTACTACATTTGAGTACCTTATTGCTATTTTATGTTAAAAATAGACCTTTTATCATGTTAAGTCTTAGTACTTTGGAGTCTTTACTTCAAACATATAAAATACAGCAAATTCTTAGATCCTTGATGCATGCCACATAGACTTTTTTGATGATATTTTTTAGATTTTAAAAAAAAATGGAAGCTTTTTCTACAATTAGCATATTAATTATGCAACAATTTTAATGAATCTTTTTCTTAAAATTACATCAAATATATACAATTCTTTTATGTAATAAAAGTACAAACTTGCCAGGTTATAGAGATGGATGATACTGTCTTTGAGATTAACAACCAAAATGGTCACAATTTTCTCATTGTCAATTTAAAAGATTGTAGCTATTTTTGTGGTAATTTTCAAAAATTTTAGTCATTATACATTCATGTCTACATTGTCATGGACATCTATATTTATTCTAATAATTATTTAGATAATATAAATAGATAGAAGTATATTAAAATAAATAAATTTGATAATATCTTGTATACTAACTTTTTAGAAGCTTCATAGACAAGGCTTTGTCTTTACATGTGTTTATAGATAATTGATAGATTAAAAACTTGACCAACAAGTTGGCTATATTTTGTACATTTTGGTGACTTGTGATACAAGTTGAGTATGTGGCGCATATATAAGAAGCTTGTCTTACAAGTTAGATATGTGTTATGTAAGTTGGAATAATGTTAAAGATCTTATAAAATATTTCTATGTAGATCTCACTCTTACTTCTATATATACTATGTAATTTAAATTCTAAAACTATAAGTCAGACTTATTGTAATATTACTTTTAGATTTTATTATTATAGCTTTCAATCTCTTCTAAAAAAATAATAATATTACATTTTGTGAAATAAAATAAATTTCTACTAATTAAGAGCCTATTATAGTTCAAAAAATTTTTAATTAACTAAATCTTTTAACAATTTTTTTTAAGCCTTTGATTTATGTTCAACAAATTTAATCATTTTTTACTTGTGAATTAAATAATTCTTTAATTTAGGTGATTTATTCTAGTTCATAACTATTAATTAACATGTAAATTGATTACATAATTTTTTTCTTACTTCTTCATAAAAAAACATAAATTAATTGATTAATTAAACTCACACTCAAACAACTATAATATAACAATTCTAACACTTAAAAATTTAATTATATAACAATTATTATTTTTTTATACGGATTTAGTTTTATTTAGTTTAATTTTTTTATTATTAATTATCATCCAAAATTAAAATTTCATCCTAAAATAACCTCTCATCTATAATTGAATTATTGTCTAAGAATAATTTTTTATCTAAAATTAAAATTCATCTAATTTGAATCAATATTCATCTACAAATTTTCATCCATAAATTTCATCCATAAATTTTATCTAAATTGAATCCATGAAATTTGTTCATTCAATCATCATACATAAAATTTATTCATCCAATTGTATTAATTCATCTAAGATACATCCTAAAAATTGGAAAAAAATAAAAGTTATCATTTCTCATGTCTTAGCTAATCTCCCATGTCAAGACAATCTTCCATTGTTAAGACAATTTTCCACATTAAGACAATCTGAATATAAAAGATGACGACAAAAAAAATTGTCTTGACTTTATATCAATTGTTAAATATAATTTATTATTATTTTTATATAGTCTCTATTAATTGGAATCCACTTTAGTAAGTATTGAATCCTTATTTTTTAAAATCACATCCATTAATTTGTAATCAAGGTTGTATACATGAAGTTGCTTTATGGATTCTCTATACCAATTATTTGGTATTTATGGATAGATAGCTATGTCATTTCTAATTATAAGACCACTAAAAGTTTATTTAAATTATAAGGATGGAATAAGATTGTCTTTATCTATTATGTTATTTAACTCATAAACTTTAATGCCATCAAAGTTCATTCCATAAACATATTCTAATTTGATGTCATCTACCAAGGTAACTAAATCAATATCTACTTTATTGTTTTGCTAAATGGCAAAACCATCTATAAAGTTGACATGCATCAATTCATCTACATTAAAGATAGGATGACTTATCAACAACTAGATAAACTTTCCATCATCTTCTTAATCCTAAAATTTTGGGTCCATACAATGTAATAGAATATTTTGGATTTATCATGGACATATATATTTATTCTAATATTTACTTATATGATTAAATAGAAGTAGATAAAAATGGATTCATTT